ATGAGTGAAATCATATGGTATTTGTCTTTCTCTGACTTATTTCACTTAGCATAATACTCCCTAGCTCCATCCACCTCATCGCAAATGGCAAGATTTCATTCTTTTTTATGGCTGGGTTATATTCCCTTGTCTATATCTACCACATCTTCTCAAAGTAAATAATATTTTAATGCAATGTTTCAAAACTGATGATATGCAAAATGTCAAAATTTTAAGTAGAGATAGGATTAGTATAAAAAGAGCCACCAATATCATTTCCTGTATTGTTTTCTATGTGCCAGTGAGCAGCCCCCACTGATCTGGAGACTGATGGTTCTAATTCTGAATCCCAGAGAAGGGCTCTGATTAGCTCAGCTTGGGGTTAGTCTCGATTAGTGAAGGCCTGGTGGTGGGAGGTGATTGATTGCCAACAGAACCTTGTGGGAGGCTGGGCAGGCATAATACCAGGTGTCCACTCTACAAAAGTACCAAGTTCATGCATATGAGGAGACCGACCGGGGTCTGGTGAGATAAGGAACTTGACACTTGGTCTCTCTTTCTCCCTACCTTAAGGTTTCTCCTTAGATACCACCATTAAACTTACCAATCCCAGAAGGGGAGAGTTGAGCCCACTTGAACAGGGAATTCAATGTCAGCCAACCAATGGGTTAGTGCCAACCATGTATAAGGCATAAGGCACAAGTACTTGGCATTTTTGGTCAGGATAATATCTGATGAGGGCAAGTAGATGCTATCCTTCAGACAGGAAACCAGAGGGGTTTTGATGCTGGGGAGAGGTTAATTTTGTGAACTGCTGATTACTCTTATACAGTGGGCCAAAGACTAGGAGGTTCCCTTTTGTTCCATTGGGAACTCTGGCACCTTTCCAATAACCTTCAAACCACAGCCAGAACCATCTTTTTAAAATGCAAATCTCATCGTGCCAGTCTCTTGCTTTAAAATGTTCTGTGGACTCCCACTGATTTTAGGCTAGAGACCAATATTCCTTTTTTTTTTTTAAGTAATTTCTCTGCCCAATGTGTTGTTCAAACTCATGATCCTGACATTAAGAGTCACAAGGTCCACTGACTGAGCCAGCCGGGTGCCCTGAGACCAATATTCTTAATACTGCTTCTGTGGTCTGCCCTCTGGCCTCTAATAGGCCCCTGCTTCTTTCTGCCTTAGGACCTTTGCATAGGCTATTGACTCTGCCCAGGGTACCTCCCAACAACTCTTCCCCCTACTCACTCCCCCAGGTAATAATTACCTTTTAGAGATCAGCGCAGATGTTCCATTCTCTGGGAAATCCATTCCCTGATTACACAGGATGAGCCAAGTCCTCTGCTGTATTACAACAATAATCATAAATAACAATAAAACAACAACAATAATAACAGCTAACATCATGTGACAGGTAGTTTCTGAGAATTTCCATTTGCTTAATCCTCACAACAATAGTATGAGGGAGGTGTTATTATTTTTAGGATGAGGAAACTGTGCTTAGAGTCCATTGCATTTATCACAATTATGATGAAAGAATGAATTATATGGGCCCTGGCAGTGGCCAGGATGGGGCTGAGGGCAGCCTTTTGTTTAGAAGGAAAGGGCTAGGAGTTGGTCGCGAGGCTGTGTTTGTGAAGCAGAGCACGCTGTGCTCTGGGTGGTGTGCTTACTTGGGATGGCTTTGAGAAGAGATCAGTGATGATTGTGAAGGCTAAAATACTCTCAAGCCACTCCATGCTGTCCACCATGGCCCACTGTCAGCCCTATGAAAGGAGGAACTCACGTATTAGCTATTGTTTCCTTGGAACTCAGCTCTGGGCCTTACATAAAAAAGTAGTTTCTCAATAAATATTTGTTTTATGAATCATTCAAAAAAAATCTCCGAAACTTTGGACGTATTTTTGAGCAAGCTACATCTGAATTCTATCCTAAAGGTATAGCACTGATGATGGGGGTGTTCCCCAGGGGTTTAATTTGATCTTGGGCTGACTGGTGGACGCCCAGGACTTGAGGTAGAGACCTGTGTGGACCCCGTTTAGGGAACACGTGAGCCAAGGGAGCAGATGTCTGACCTCAGGAGTGCTGGTCCCTAAAGTGAGGCAAGGCTGGGAGGAGCATTCTGCCCCAAGTGGAAGTAGAGATCAGAGTCTCATGCTCTTTATGCAGGTGATCACAAAGGCTCATTTGTGGAGGGGAATGTGTTACCTTCATAGTTTGGGGATCACGCATATGGGAGGCTGAGATGAGTACATTCTAGAACTCATAGAATAGTCTGGTCCTGTGATGCCTTTGGGCTCAGAAAGGGACCTTGAATGTAATTACTCTTAATTCACAGAGAAAGAACTACCTCATATGCTTCCAGTCCCATATAGCACTACCCTTTGGGCTTGTGTGATTATATCTCTAATGGGCTGTGAGCAGCCCTGAGAGCTAGACACCTGAAGACCAACTCTAGCCTTTCTTCTCATCGTTCTGCTCCTGGGGCCCTTCCAATCCATTTCTGGTCTTGCCCTGAGTCCATGTCTGGATTCTGAGGAAAGAAAAGGCAGGAGACTGGCCTGGATCTCCTTGGGCTTATGGGAAGAGGTAAGCGCCCTGAGTTAGGAAGAAATCCACATTCCCCTCTCCCCGCTTCCATAGGAAAAATGCAAGGAAGCAGGAGGAGGGAGAAGGGTCTGGCTGAGTGAAGTAGACACATTTCACGTAAGGGAAACTTAAAATATAAAGTATAGCTAATAAACTTAAAATATAAAAACAAATGTTGCTTATACCAAACCAAGATTATAATCCAAGGACACAATTTATATAAAAGTATATATAGTAAATAGTAAATAACATAGTAAAAATAGTAAATAAGAAATAACAGTAAGCCTTTTCAGAGGTGACTCATCCTTTAATTCATTTTAATTCACCTTTAAAATGGTGTCCATTTCACTAAACTTTGTAGAATATAAACTATTCTAAGTAGATAATTTCTTTTATTATTTTTTTAATTTTTATTTTTTAAGTAGGCACCACAGCCATGTGGAGCCCAATGTGGGTCTTGAACTCACGACCCTAAGATCAAGACCTGAGCTGAGATCAAGAGTCGGATGCTTAACTGACTGAGCCACCCAGGTGCCCCTAATTAGATAACTTCTGAGGAGAGCTAATTTAGTGATTTGGTCTCCAAATAGTAAGGGAATTTAATTTATCTTATGATTTCTAATTATGTTTGGAATGTTTGAAAAATATCAAGTTAAATGTGTCCTTTAATTTGGGATTATTTTAACTTTTAGGATTCTTGTTCTCCATTTGTCCAGTTATTGGGAGCATTTACAAGACTTTCAGAAAGATAAGGGTTTTTTTTTTTTTCACCTCTCTATAATAGTAAATATTCTTTTGCCATTTTAAAGTTCAAGTGTCCATCTCTGTTAGTGTTTGTGTTAGCCTGTAAGAGCCTGGAGTTTATAACCTAGATTCTGGAAAGAAACTGTAGCAGTGATAGGTTGCTAAGAAAGTCTCAGCTAATTAAACAACGTGCCTTGAATAATTCTGAGCCTCTGTACTGCTCAGTCATACTGGATCAATTGAAAATGATGCTCATTTTTAGGTTTGTCAAAACTTAAATTAGGACAAAATGTAAGTCTAGACATCCTATTTTCTTTTTTTATCCTATTTTCTATAATTAAAGAAAACCAGAAATAAAAAATACAATTGTATGAAAATGTTCAAAAGAACCTAATGTTCAGGAACAATGGAATATTTAAATTGTGATATATCCACATGTATTACTATACAGCCATACCAACTGCAGGTTTGTATACAATATAACAAATACTATATTTTAGTTAGGTTGGAAATCATAACTCTCTCTTTTATATGAATCAGCAGAAATAGGTGCAGTTTAATATATTACTGTTATACTTTTCAAAATAAAATTGAGGCGGAAGGGAGCCTGTTTAAGATTATCCAGATTAGAATTAATTTTGCCACTTGAGTGTATTAGAAAACAAGAGCTAGACCCACAAACAAGAGTTGTAAAGCAGATTCATGGACCACGTCCCAGACTATTCGGATAATTTACTTTTCTGTTTAGAGTTACATCAGTGATTGAAAACAAAGGCTGGGAGGGGCCCCGTGAGGTGGGGGGGCGGGGGTGGGATTAAGAGAGTATATAGCCAAGGAGCTATTTCAAGCCTGACGACTTCATTCTATTGTATATTTCCAGTTATGCTAATTCTAAAGCTCCCATAAGAATCTGTTTTCCATTTCCTACTAATTTTCATCCTCTCTATGTGTTATTTTTTTCATCTACTTTCCAGAAATCTGCTTCTTGAATAGAAAATTATCTTTCTGGGGGCACCTAGGTGACAATCAGTTAGGATCTGACTCTTGGTTTCAGCATTTCGAGTCATGAGATCGAACCCCATGTTGGGCTCTGTGCTTAGCGCCCAGTCTGCTTAAGACTCTCTCCCTTGCCTTTTGCCACTCACCCCCAAACTAAATAAATCTTAAAATACTCAAAGTACTTTTAAAAAAAAGAAAATTATCCTTCTGTAAATACTTAGCCAAGACACACATGATTCATATTCATGTTTAATCATATTTATTATTTATTTATTTGTTAATCCTATTCATGATTAATATTTATGTTTGGATGAAAAGTAAAATTGCTATAAAGGAGAAGTCAACTAATATTTGTAGTTAAGACCTTCGTAGCTTTATTTTATCAAATCTTATTTTTTCTCTTTGGCCATCCGATGTTATAATTTTTACTGTAACCCTTAATTTAGCTATTGTTGGTTCTCAGGCACATTTTACTACTTAGTCCCTGAAATTCCAGCGAGGTGAAAAAAACTTAAAAACATCCCGAACCATTGCTTATGAAAGAGCATTCAGTAGAAGTGTTGAATCTTGACTATAAAACTCCCCCGGGTGCCTCCTTGGGATTCCAAAGCATTTGCATCATGAAGGCCCAGAGTGTGCTTTTTTTGCCTTTAGCTCACTGTGCTTTTCTTTCTTGTCTTTTTATTCAGCTGGAATGCTTTCAAACTGCTAAGGCTGAGATCCTGAGGAACCCAGCTGGAGAATGCCGTCTGAACGCTGCCTGAGGTTGGCCCTCTAGGATGCTTCCTTGTTTGGTGTCATGAGCCCTGAAATAGTCACACTGTGCATCCCAGGGCTGAGTGCAGAGCAGGGCTCAACACATATGTGAAGGAATTAAGCAAACCAGTCAGAGTGTGTGTGAGTTTAGTATTGTAGCACATGGGTTAACCACTGTGATCTATTTACTGGTCATAGCTAGGTACATTCCATGGTTCTTTGAATGATACGACTGACTATCCTTTTCTTATTTGGGATATCTCAAAAAAAAAGTATACTTCTATAAAGGTATATGATTTAAAAAAGAAGCAGATAACTATACTTATATATGACTATCATCCCCTTTAAAGCAGTCACTTTGGGGAGTGTGATATGTATTCTCAAAACACTCATAACATTTAATAATTCATTTAACAGATATTTATTGAGCCAAGCAGTGTACTTGATGCAGAGGATCCATCAGTGGATAAAACAGATAAGGTTCCTGCCCTCATAAAATGTATATTCTTTGGGGGAAACAGTCAGCAAATCACATCCAGTAACAGTGCAAATATAATTGTGAAAAGTGCTTTGAAGGAAAAGTACAGGGTTGATAGAATAAGGAAACATCTTCCTGAAGAAGGCTCTGTAATCTGAGATCTGAAGCATGGAATGACTTGCGGAAATGCTCTGGGGCAGGAAGAAACTTGGCACATTCCCAAAACTGAGGGTGCGGTCAATAAGAAAGTACAGGGCATTTTTTTTTTTTAATGTTTTTGGTGGAGGCAAGTCTCTATCATCCTCTGAGGAAACAGTCAAAAGGATCTTCAAAGCAAAGAATAAGAGGGGTGTGAGACATAGGAAATACTTTTCTTTTTTTTAATTAAGATCTGGGTATGTCTATGAAATGATGAGACCAGCTTTCTTCAACAACTCTGAAGCTGTTAGAGTTGACCAGTTCCAAAAATATGTTAAGAAATGGAGGGAGGCCTTGTGACAGCCGGTACAGCTCTGAGTCTGTTGCTCTTGATCAGTGATGTTCAGTGGGGGGACAATTTTGCTTCAGTGTACATTGTGCCGTATCTGCCAACATTTTTGGTGGTCCCTGGGGTTGGGGGTGCTATTGACATCTAGTCAGTAGATACTAGGGATCCTGTTAAACATCTTACAAGATGCAGGACAACTCCCCATTGCAAAGAACAATCTGGCCCCAAATGTCAATTTCACTGAGGTTGAGAAATCCTGCTCTAGATCAGGCATCCAGCCATAGAGACCATAGCACATAGAGAGCATGGTATCTGCCACCACCTCAGCCAAGTGGTTTATTTCTGGCTACTGGGACCTATGTGCATTTCTCTCAAAATTATTTTTACTTTAAATCTGCCATCTCTGCTTTTATTGATCAATTCTGATCCCATCGCCCTCTCTCCTCCACTGCACCATGATCTCTATAATGGTCTTTCCTTCTCTGCTGTGATGCGGACTTCTCCCTTCCCCACCTTTCAAACTTCCTTTGTGCCCTGAGCAACTGTTGCACCACAATTGTATGCTCTGCTGTATCATCTCCATCACCCTGAAAGGCTCCTCTCACCTGCTGACTTCATTGAGACCTGTCCTCTCCTGAGGCACCACTTCTCTTGTCGCCCTGCCAAGTGTGACATTATTATCTCCTCACATCTCATGTATTTGGGGTCTGGGTAGAGGAGATTGTTGTTGCCTGGGACATAGTTTTGCTTCTCCATCATTACTCCTCCAGCTGGTTGTTTGAGAAGGCAACAGTAACAAAATACAATGAAGACATCCTCAGGCTGGTGCTCTTCGATTCTTTCCCCCTCTCTCCTCTCCACTGTTGTCAGGGTCATTTCCCCTCATTTGCTGAGCATCTGGCACCCAGCTTACAGTGTTCTTCCTCATCACAAACCCTTTACAATTTCCCAATGTCCTCAGTGTTTGCATTGAGAATCTGTCCAACTTGGTGACCTGGGGTCTTCAACCTGCTTATCTCCGGAACCTGTCTCCTTCTGCTGAGTGATCCACTCCTACGGTCACCCCTTGGACCTTGAACCCCCAGTAGTTGCTCTGTTTCTGATCACCATATCAGCCACTTTACTCTTACCAGGACCTCCTCTCTGTCTAGCCTGCTGGTTTACCTTCCGCCACAAGGGTTGAACTTTGACCTCTTTGCAATGTCTCATCTACTGGCCTTGCTACTTTCTACCAGCCCATCATCCCTTTCTTTCCCTCGTTTCCCTTCTTACCCAGTTTAGATCCTACGACTCTTTTGAATCCTTAATTTCTCTTGCTTCTTGCATTTTTGATGCATTTGCCTGACAATATCCCAACCCAGATGAACCCAGATATCCTTGTTTCCATGGCTACATCGTCCAGCAGAGATTGGATCCACCAAATCTTTATATTCAACGAACCAGGAAAAAAAAAATGCTAAGAGCTTAATATTTGTTTCTGGTCTACCTGTTCCCTCCCTCCTGCTACTCAAAGGGCAGTCCTTTCCCACCACTGAGCCCAGCCATCCTTCTGTATTTTGAATATTATCTTTCTTCTCAGCAACCTTTCACTGTTGATTGTTTCTGCACTGTCTTCTGGAGACATGGGTGTGCTTCTCCTACCCTCTCTATGTGGATGAGTCTGAGGTTTACTCCTCTAGCCGAGTGTCTTTCTGAGCTCCAGACCTTGCACCTGGCCCTCCCTTGTCCTCAGGGTTTGAACAATTAACATTCTGTGTGAGGGCCATGCTCCCTCCTACCTTGGGATCACTTGCTCTTCCCCATCTGGAAAACTCTTCTCTCCCCTTTTGCCACAGGAACTCGTTCTCATCCTTCGCCCCCCAGCTCCAACATTACTTCCTCTGGGAGGCCAGATTATTTGAAAAGTGTGTAACTGCCTCGCTAAACTGAACGTTCCACAGGGGTTGCTACAAAGTTTGGTTTGTTCACCATTTGATCTCCAGTATCTAGCACAGTACCTGGCATAGGATAAGTAAATGTTTGTTGAGTGAATGAATGAAGGGAGGAATGAAGCAAAACTATTCATTTATCATTAAGTTCCTTTCTGTATAATTAAAGACTTCTTAATCATTCTCTAAGCATATTGTGTCCTCTTTGCTTATTATTTTGACCATTGCTATTAGTTGTGTGGCATTCATTTTAAGGTATTTACAAATTTTAAAGTGTTCTGTAGGGGCACCTAGGTGGCTCAGTCGTTAAGCGTCTGCCTTCGGCTCAGGTCATGATCCCAGGGTCCTGGGATCGAGCCCCATATCAGGCTCCCTGCTCTGCGGGAAGCCTGCTTCTCCCTCTCCCACTCCCCCTGCTTGTGTTCCCTCTTTGGCTGTCTCTCTGTGTCAAATAAATAAAATCTTAAAAAAAAAAAAATCCTTTTAAAAAAAATAAGTAAAGTGTTCTATAAAAAAGAAAATTGAGTTCCATTATGGGGTTAACAGCCTGCCCACTTAAATAATAGGGCTGTTTTAATATTAATGTTTTTAATTTGTATAGAAATATTTTGACTGTGGAATTGAAGTGACTAGGGCACTCACCTGATAATTCATCAGTATATTGAACTGAGATAATCATGAATAATCCTAGTACTGTCAGGTTTGTTCTGTTCAGTCTTTTCTTTCTTGTGTAGTCTATTTGAGAAATGCCTGCATTTGATTTATAATTTTCAATGCCTTATTGGTGGCCTTACTTGAAAACGACTTGTATATATTCTGTATATCTAAGTAGTAGGTAAACACTGATACAGAAAATGACTTGAATTTTAAAATTTGAAATGCAGGTGTTTAAAAACCAGATAGCTGTTTTGGAATTTCCATCTTAAAAACTGACTAAACTCAGTCAAAATTTACTTTATGTAAATGGGACCCTGTGAGATTTCTGTGATCAAAAACGTTAACTCTATAAACTAGAAGGAGTGATTTGCACTCTGGCCGAGCTTCACTCAGAGTAGGGGATGTACCGGGTTAGAAGCATTGTGTTCTGCATTTGATTTTTTTAGTTTTTGCCATCAATTCCAGAATGAAAGTTAAAGACTTGAAGTCATGAAGAGTCCTGATCCCTGAGAGCTCACTTATTTATCTCCCTGTTACTGAACGCTGACATATGGCCAATCAAATGCTCCCTGGCATCACGAAAGAGCAATCTGCTGCTCAGAGAGTCTGGGGCTTCCCATGTTGTGAGACGCGGGAACAGCCATGCTCCTCGGCAGCCTCAGGGGCTACCCGAAGCCCTTATAGAGTTCAGGTGGAAAGGAATGAGGGACAGGCCCCCCTGGCAACTTGTACACTGTCTGATATGACCATAATGTGAACCATATGTATAATTAAAAATTCTCAAGTAGTTAACATTTTTAAAAAAGTACAAGGAAACAGGTAAAATGAATTTAACCATATAGTTTATTTAACCCAGGACACCACAAATATTTTTATATTACCATGGAATCAGTATAAAAATATTAATGAGATACTTTGCATTCTTTTTTCATACTGCATCTGACATCAAGTGCATGAGTGCATTTTATGCTTACAACACATCTCAATTTGGATTACGCCCATTTCAGGTGGCCAATATCCACCTGTAGCTATTGGCTATTGTATTGGACGGTGTAGTTCTAGGGGATCCCTCAGAGGAAAGACTATTGGGGAAGCCAGGTCACCTTCTGCACTTACCTGTGAGTTTTAAGGTGGCAACATTGCTTCCACAGATGATCTTTCCCAATTTTAGGATGACACTCAAATCTGTATACCCTTGGGAAATGTGCTTCATGTTTTGTGTATTTTTTTTTCCCAGTAATTTAGGAAGTGTTAGGAATATTCTTTTCCTTCCTTCTTCATTGTTTCGTGAATAATGGAGGGACATTGTTGGGAAGTTGAGTGTGCTGATTTGCTATAAATTATAGATGTCAACGGGGCCATTTGCAAGCGTGTATCTGTTCCTCACCTTAATTTAGACATGGTCCTTTATAGTCTCTGATTCACCTCCTTCCTTGTTTATGATCATTGCCCTCATCAGATGGGCCTGCCACTTTCCAGCTGTGTGCCGTGGTCACACATGCTTTAACATTTAGAGGGTTGAAGTCTTTTGCAGATTTACATCTGAGAGTTGAGTGGGAAATTACTTTCAGAATACAACAAAGACTTGTTGATTAATCGGCCTTTATTTCTTGCCAAATGTTGGAGTATTTGTTTCTGCTTTTAAAGATTCCTAACATATTGGTTCCAAAATATTTGAGATCTTGTGCCAAGTGTTGCCTTAAATATTTAGCATGTTGTTTTCTTGAAGCTTGAATATTTCAAGCCCAGCTGAATGATCCTGTGAAATTGTGCAGCATCACCATTGTTTCAGAGCTGAGCCCTTTATTCCTTGCCAAATTTCAGTTTACAGCTGCTCTTTCCCTGGTGAGATTTATTCACTGTCAATAGATACCTGAAATGCAAATACTGATTCAGTCTTGATAATAAGGACACGAATCGTGGCACTATATTTGGAAAATGAGTAAGGAAACACTTTAAGGCAATTATTTTAACATATTCTACTGTTCCACTAAAAATGAAATTTTAAAATACATTTAGCACTTAAAGTGATATTAAAAGAGAGAAAAGTAATGAGTGTTTCAAATAAATTTGCAATGAGTGTTTCAAATAAATGAGTAATAATTAGAATCTGGTTTTCTATACCCAAACTTATCTTAGTTGCAGTGCAAAGATAAATATTTTTGAAGCCTGATTTCAGATATTTCTTGTCACTATCTCATGTTATTATCTTCATGTGTATTGTTTTTAAAAGGCAGCTTTGATTTTGGGATAACTATGCATACTATAAATACAGAGTTAATACGGACTTTCTGACTTTTTTTCCCCCTGCAATCAGAGATTTTTGAGATCTTCTTCACAGTTTATCATTGTGTTTTGTTTTGTCTTTTGTTGTTGTTGTTTTTTTTTAAGCAGGAAGGGGAATTACATTATTGTGTTCTTGGCGATAGGTTCCCAAAATGCCTGATCTTGGACCTTTGGTTTTCTTATCTGTAGAACAGAGATAAGAATAGTGCCTGCCTCATAGGTTGTTAGGATGATTATTAATGAATTAATAATTATAAATCACTAAGAATACTTCATGGAACATGGGAAGACTGTGAAATATATAAAGATGTCATCCTTCTAAGAAAGATTTTTCAAAAACTATCCTAAAGCTTTACTTTAGCTGGTACGTTATTTCTGTTACTATTCCATTCCTTTATTTCTTTAATTGAGGGATGCTAATTAATCTCCCTTCCAGGCTTTGCATAGAAATTTGTATTAAAAAGTTACTTATGCTTTTGAATGTGCTTTTCAGTTACTGATTTTAAATGTCTGCGGATAGCTGGAGCCGCTAGATGAATATTCGATGACAGTAACCATTTCAAAACTCACTGCTGCGTTTCAACTGAAAATAATCCTCCCACCTTCCCACGAGAACTTCCCATATCATCACCGCCTGTCAAGTTTTTTTTTTTTTTCTTTCAATAGTTCTGATATTTCTGAGGCTCCCCAGTCAGAAATGTCCAGTAAAGCTAATGGGGCTGTACTCTGCATTTCCTGGGAAGCATTTGGTTCCATGTAAGGTGGCGGTCTGGGTTGAAGGGCAGTTCAGCAGCCAACTGGCACCACCGGCTGGTCAGAGCTTTGTTAAATACACTGACCATGAAGACTAGGGCCAGTGGTGACTCCCTGGCTCCCGCGAGCAGCTCTTTCACACTGAGAGGGAAGAAGTGAATGCGGGAGTTGTCAGGATAGGAGAGACAATGCTCAGTCATCGCCATGGTATCTTCCCTCAGCCTTGAGAAGAGTCCAGAGGCCAGACACAGGCTTGATGGCCCTTGTTCTCATTCTGGGAGTAACTTGTGACTGGTGCAGCTCACCCATCCTGGTCTAATGCCATTCCTGAGGTTTTGGAGCACTGTGGAGACTCTATTCATAGATCTAGGCTGAAGTTGTTCATAGCTAACTACACATTCAGTGTGCATTATGTGTTTATGGCATCACTTGCACATTATTTTGGCAAGATCTGGGGTTTTACTTAGGAGTTCTAAAAGGACATAGGATGAATGTTTTAAAATGGGCTAAGGAATGAAGGGCTAAATTTCACAATGAGTAAATTTAGCAATTTCAAAAAATAGAACAGAAAATAAAATTGTATAGTCATTCCTAAATGTAGTACAATGACCACATGCAGAGATTGAAGGCTGATAATATAAGATGTATGTTACTTTCAGCCTTAGATTTTTTTTAAATTTAATTTTATTATGTTATCTTAATCACCATACATTACATCATTTTAGTTTTTGATGTAGTGTTCCATGATTCATTGTTTACGTATAACACCCAGTGCTCCATTCAGTACGTGCCCTCTTTAAAGATTTTTTTAAATTTTTTTTTAATGTATTTATTCATGAGAGAGAGAGGCAGAGGGAGAAACAGGCTCCCAAGGAGCAGGGAGCCCGATGCGGGACTCGATCCCAGGACTCTGGGATCATGACCTGAGCCGAAGGCAGACGCTTAACCAT